GGACTGTCCAATAAAAATATTCTGTCAGCCACTCATGATCTGAATTCTGGTGTATGAGATTAAATTATGGTACACATACAAAAGTCATGAGACATTTCTGTTCTGTAATAAATAAGGCAGTGACTATTACTCATTAGTAGCCTTTTTGAGGTAAGCTATTAAGTCTGCCCTTTCTCCTTTCTTCTTGATGCCAGCAAAGATCATTTTTGTTCCTGGGATGTACTTCTTGGGATTCTCCAAATACTACATCAATGTATCCTCTCCCCAGGTGATACCTTTGTTCTTGTTGGCATCTGTGTAAGAGAATCCAGCAGCCTGACCTGTCTTCCACCCAAAGAGACCATGGAGATTTGGCCCAGTCTTGTGCTTGCCTCCCTTCTCAACAGTGTGGCTGGGCGCACTTCTGTATCAAAATTTTCTTGCCTTTCTCAATATCACCCGTTTTTAAACCTGTTGCAGCTTCTGCGCCGGATGGTCACCGGTCTTTCCTCATTACCACAAGGAAAGTTCTAGTACAGAAGCCTGATGTCCCGCTCTCTACCTTTTAAAGGTTTTTGAAGCTTCCAGGCAGGCACCCAGGACAATGTTCAAACAAATTATTTATACCACAGTAGCATATTAACAAAAAACACACACATTACCTAGCATTGTAGCAGGCATTGACCATATTTTTCCTTCTTAGAATCTCATTGCCTATGATGTTATATGGGTCGAAATCAGAGGGATCAGAGTTATAAATAGATTCACATTTGAATTGGCGTGGCTTGCCCATTAGTAATAGCTTTACATACTATGTTTCAGGGAAGAATCCCATTGCTTTCGTAAGTATGACCCTATTAATAAATAGGAATTCGATGCTGCTCTTCTGTGCTGCTAGCTACTGTAAAGTTCAGAGTTAATTAATGTTTCATGAGGAGATTCCACTGGAATTACTAATAATATAGCATACTAATTAATGTTCTACTTTTATCTTTATTTACTTTTATTACTTTTCTTTTAAGTAATCTTTCTCTTCGAGGCATCAACTGGAAAACCACTAGGTGATGGGAAACATCTTTCTCATAAGGTAATGGACATTAGCTGTTTCTAATGTAAATGACTGCTATTTATTTATGAAATTTTCAATATAATTTTAAGGAGAAAAATTAGTTTTATATTTTTAAATAGTTGTTCATTTCTATATAAAGTATTTTAGCTAAAAATGTCACAAAGACTAAGTACAAATAAAATCTACAAGGAGGTGTTGTCTAGATTCTTAACTGCTTTTCAGTAACATGTTCTATAACATGTTCTATTTTAATTAAGCTTTTAGCACACATAAAAGAAAATATAATATATATTTTTCCAAAATCCTTATTGACCTATCCTTAGCCAGCATTTTTGTTGTTTTAGGAACAGAAAAACTCATCTAAAAAGTACAAAAAGACTCCATTTATTCATTAGTTTCTGATATTTTAGCCTTAAAGGTATCATTTCTCTGAGTGGCATGTTAGCATCTAAATATTCTTTTAACTTTATTAATGCTACTAGTGAGGTGTTATTCTAAATTATACTTTCCTTTTTTTTCCTGGTCTAAATTTGAATAATGAATACATTCACATAGTTCAGAAATCAAAAAAGCATTAAAATGTATGTAATGAATAAGTTTCCCTGCTATATCTGTTAATCATAAATACAATTCTCTAGTGCTTACAAGAGCTTATCAGGCTGGGTTAAGGCTCCTTAAGACTGTACATGCTCTGAGTCAGATTCGATACAAGACACAGAAATTTATAAGATTAGTTTACAGTATCTGCTTACAGAGTCAAATATAGAAGAGTACAAGAGCCTGTCTACAAGCTAGAAATTGACAAATACAACCGAAGTCCTGGAGTCTATGGTAATGACCCCCACAAGTCCGTATCAGAAGTCCAAGGAAGCTGCGATGGAGTACTGATGGAAGAATCTGCACTGAAAGCCTGGAGATGAGACCAGAGGTGAAAGTGAAGACCAGAGATCCTTTGAAGCTCCTTCAAGGAAAATCAGCATGAAATCCTCCCTTTATGTTGTCCATTTGTACTGTTTCAACAACAGCCTTGTGTAAAGTAGGTCTAATACACCCAGAATGACATTGACTCAATTCAGCTGGGTGGTGCACTCCAGTTGACAGGTAGCTCATGAACCATCACAGGCAGTAACTGAAGAGATGCAGTGGCTGCAAATGCAGATGAAATGTCCCTTACTGACCCACTGCCCACCTCCTGTTCTGTGGATTGGTTTCTAATAGGCCAGTGGGTGGTATCCAACCCCAGGGCCCGGGCTGGGAATTGAGGACCATGAAGTACAGTATTCTGATGAAAATCCCTGAACACATTTAAATATTTACCCACATTTCTGTGTGCATGTGTTTGTTCTTGCTTTGTGTTATTTTGAGACAGGGTCTTAGTAGAAAGTCCATAATGGCCTTGAACTTCTGATGATTCTTCTGCCTCTGCCTCATGAATGCTGGGATTATGGGCATGCAGCAACCCACCTGGATGACATTTGTGTTTTTCACTTGAGATAAATTCCAAGGGATAGAACTTTAAGTCTTAGAGGCAGTTATTTTTATATTTTGAGGAAACTTACTGTCAAATTGTGCTCTAGAAAAGAATGAATTTATTTTCACTTAGCAAGTAAATACATTCTTACTGGATTCAGAGTTAATTTTTATTTTGATAAATGAAAAGTGGAGTAAATTTTAAAAATGATTTCTTTCATTGTTAGTGGACAAAGTTATATTCCATATGTTCATCTTGTCTATTTACTCGCAAAATACATTTTCAATTTTGAAAAAAAAAGCCACTTTCAAAGCAAAACAGTGGCATACTTCTCAACAGAGTTATTCAAAGTCAGAATGTGAGGTCTGTCCTTCATGGAATGAACAGGAAAGAGAAGCAATACCTGCTTTTCCTGAAGAGATGCTGGTTGCATCTCAGGTGTCTACATGCCAAGAAAGAAGCTTCACTGAATATGGAAAGCAACTTCAGCAACCTGATAAAACACAACAATTTTAAAAGATTCACTTGGATCTAGAATTCAGTGATCCATAAAGTTAAAAAAAAAATCCCTCTAAAATGAACTTGAAAAAAGAAGTACTGCAAAAACTCTTTGAGATTTTTTATTATTATAGGTCTTGCTTTATCTTGGTCTTAACCATCCAGCAGAAAAGTGTAAAAACGAGGTATAAAAAGAAAAGCCATATTAATATGCTGAGCTATAAAAGGCTCAAGTCAACAACTTCTGACATTGCCAGTCCTATGGATAACCCACCACTGTTATGGACTACTGGACTATATTGGATTATTTTACTGAATTCACGCACCTACAATATTTGATTGGCAATGGAATGTCCATCTCTGACAAAATTAAACAAAAAAGGAGACATAAATGAAGGACCATTTTGTAGTGAAAATATATATATATTGTATATAGATATATACACAAAATAGTTTGGATAGATATACAGTTACTTTCTCTTAGTTCAATGAGAGGAAAGATTTGTACTAAGAGTGTTTAGACAAGATATCATGTCTGCATCTTGTACTATGAATAACTATTATGAAGAGAACCATATGCAATGTATTCATTTTTGTAACTGTCCTACTAACCTGTTTTGAAACTGTTTCATTGTTATTTCTTTCTCAATAAAATTAATTTTAAAAAAATTTAAATAAATACAATTCTCTTGGCAAGCAGAGGGTCCTGAGTTCAATCCCCAGTACTAAATAAATAAATACAGTTCTCCATCAAGTAAGTAGCATTGTTACTTATCCCTTATATATCCTTCTAGAGATTTTTAGTGCATGTACAGACAAAACCGATATGTATTTTTCTCTTCTTACACAAAAATGTAGCATACAAATTCTGTACCTTGTTATTTTCACACAAAACACTATTTCTGGAGATTTTTCCAAATCCATGGAAGCATGTCTATGCTTTCCCTACCATTTCTCTCTTTACCATATAATACAGTATTTTATTGATGTACCAGAATTTATTTAATCTGTGCCCAGAGGATGGACATTTAAGTTATATCCAGTTTTTTTTTACTTTTACAGCATTGCCAAGTGAATAGCTATTTGTATATATCTTCTTGCACAGGTTCTAAGGTAATTTGGCATTATGTCAAAAATATGTTGCTGGGTCAAAAGAAATGACTGTAATTTTAATAAGTATTGTCAAATTATCTTCCAAAAAGATAAAGATACGAGTTACTGTTTCTCTATAACCTCTCCTTTATTTATTTATTTTTAAAAATATGTCTTTTATTATTTATTTACATTTAGAGTGTGTGTGTGTGTGTGTGTGTGTGTCCAGCTCAGCCCACCTGGGGGCGGGGCTGGCTGGCATGTGGTGCTGGGGGATCGAACCACGGTCCCTGTGCTTTGCCAAGCTTGTTCCAAGTAGGTGCTTTAGACCACTGAGCCATCTCTCCAGCCCCATAACCTCTCCTTTATAATCATTTGAATTAACACTCTTAGTCAATTTAGTAAGTATATAAAAAATTAAGTTTCTTAAATGTCAAAGATGTAGTCATTTTTGTTGGTGTTATTCAACAAAAATAACACCTTATTAAATAAAAATAACAGCTTATTAAATAAGGTGTTATTTACCTTATTTAATAAGGTAAAACTTTCATTTTAATGTGGTTACTCTTGCTAGAATTGTTTTCCTAAGTATGAGAATTTCCTAAGTATTAAATCTTTTTTTTTTTGTGGTACTGGGGATTGAACTTGGGGCCCCTGCACTTGCCAGGCAGGTGCTTATTCTACTGAGCTAATTCCCTGGTCTCAAAATTTATAATTTTCTATTTCCACAGCTCTTACTTCATTCAGTTACTCAGACCTATTTTTCCCCCCCTGGGTGTTCAGGGTCTCACTACTAGATCAGACTTGTAGTGATTCTCCTGTGTAAAGCCTCCCAAGTGCTAGGATTATAGCCGTGCACCACTACGCCTCTCAATCACTGGCTCATTGCCCCCTGAGGGCAGGCCTTGGGATCGCACCCCTGGCTCTTGTGCCTGCTTGCAGGCACTTTAATCTGCTGAGGTATTTGGCTGGCCCCAGACATTTTTGAATAATAAAAATAATTTAAAATTTTTGCATTCAATAAAATAATAGAAAAATCACATCTCTTTATTTTACGTGTGAATAAGCCAAGATTTAAGATCTTCTCAAATAATAACAGCCTAAACTAAAACTCATATTATTAAATGAATATTAATTAGTGAAGGGCAAGAGAGAGGATTCTAGTGAATGTAAAACATGTTCACCTTTGATTTTTTTCAGTAGTACTGAGGTTGAATTTAGGGCCTGATGAATACAACATGGCAGACCCTGTACCATTGAGCCAGATCCCTAACCTTGATTTTGAATTTCTTAGAAAAATCATATCTCTTTACTGTTTTAAAAAATAAAGGAAGTTCTTTTGATAATGGTGATAAACAGTTCATTATTATAAAGATTAAGTTCTCTGAAATATTTCCATTTTGAAAATACACTGGTATTTTGTGCGTGTCTTGATATACATGGAACAAAACTACTTTCTTCTTTAAAATATAAATTATAAAATCTAAGAAAAGAACTAAATTTTTAAAAATGTACTTTGATCTAGTATATACTGATCTACCAGCTTGGATAAAGATATACATTTGTTTTGTTTTAAAAACTGTTACTTATAGTACACATAAAGGCAGTAACTTGGTGATGTGATCGTGATTGTAACTGGATCTGCGCTTCCTAACAAAGTCTTCACTGAATAGCCTGCAGTTCATAAACCCCACTTGAGTTAGGAACTATGGCATGTGCTTGTGGTTCAGCTACTCAGAGGCTGAGGCAAGAGGATTGCTTGGGCCTAGAATTTTGAGGTAGCCTGGCCAACATCCTGAATTCATACTAGAGCATTTCCAAGTTATAAAAAAAAAAATCCACATTTCTGACTTATATGATAGGTGAATGAAGAATGCCATTTGGAAAAAGTGATGATCTTGGAGTCAGGAATCTGAATTGTAAGTTTAAGACATGCTAGGTACTAGATTTTTCTAACAAAATCATCTAATGTCTGTGAGGGTCTCAATTATATAATAAGTATTGTATACATATATTTTCTGTTTTGCAGGAAATGTATATGAAATAACTGTAAATTTTAAGACTTTGGAAATGTGATACTTATGCATATATTCATTTTTTTTAAAAAAAATTAAAACTATAGGTGTTAACTCTCTCCTGTGATATTCACACTTTCTCACCTATTTATCCTGTCTACTAAAGACAGGGCAGGAGGGCAGATGGGAGTATTTCTCAGGGTAGGCAGTATCTAAATATACATTATTTTATTGTAATTTGAGGGATATTTGTCCCTTGAGGTGCAGGCAAAGTACAACTTTACTGCAGTTCTTGAATTATTAGTATATTGGCAGTGTAAAATTAGATAATGGATATTTCACCCTTGTAAGTAAGAGAATGACATTTAATTAAGCTTTAGAAAAAGAAATGTTCTTCTAACTAAGTTAAAAATGACCTTTATGTCAAACACTAAAACTAATCCAACATTTACTTTTCTTTAAAATTTTAGAATGAAATTTTGGAAATTGCTCTGGATCAAAAAGGACTTACCAATGATAGAAAAATTGCTTTCATTGATAAAAATAGAGATCTCTATATCACTTCAGTAAAACGATTTGGAAAGGAAGAACAAATTATCAAGCTTGGTAAAATAATTTTAATACATTTTAACTTTCAGTTATTGCTAATTTTCTTAGATGTATTGTGTTGTGTATTTATGTTTACTTGAACAAATTTGTGGAAACATTTGATCTCACATTTTTTTTGTCCTTCATCTTAATAACAAGTCTTTAGCTGCTGCAGTTTGTCATTGAAAGAAAGATCTGCGGGGCTGGTGAGATGGCTCAGTGGTCTAAAGCACCTACTTAGAACAAGCTTAGCAAAGCACAGGGACCGCGGTTCAATCCCCCAGCACCACATGCCAGCCAGCCCCGCCCCCTGGTGGGCTGAGCTGGCCACACACACACAAAATAAATAAATAAATATTTAAAAAAAAAAAGAAAGATCTGCAAATTAAAAATATTATGGCTTTACATAGAGCATTCAAATATTTATAATTTTTATGTGAAATTTTGCATATGTTCCAGCATTATACAATCAGAAAGTAGAGACATACCTGCCAGAATTTGGATGAAATCTGTTTGTCAGGTGATTTTAAAGATGTATTTTTAATATTTATATTTTGGAACTAATGGGACATTAATATTCTTTTTTAAATTAAGGAACAATGGTGCATACTTTGGCCTGGTGTGATACATGCAATATTCTTTGCGGACTTCAGGATACTCGATTTACAGTGTGGTATTACCCAAATACAGTTTATGTGGACAGAGACATTTTACCTAAAACATTATATGAAAGGGATGCAAGGTAACATTTACGTCATAGAATTCTGTATTGTGGTAAACATAACTCTGACAGAAAGTCATGTTTTGTCTCTAATTTCAGTCCTTCAATGTGTCTTTCACTTGAATCAGACTCAACTAAATAGTTCGGCTAAAACTAGCTTAATGGGATTTAAATGATTCAACAAGTTGAAAATATAATATGAACTATTTATCCCTTATATGAATATAATTTTCAAGTTTAGTATTGTTTAATAGTAGTTCGTATAGGTTTTTTCAGTGTGATTCAGTGATTTTAATATAGGTACTCTTTGAGATTTTGCAGTGATGTACAACTTTATTATAATTACATAATACATAGATTAACACTGACTTTAAGATTTTCAAGACTATATTGAGTTTAAATTGAAATTTTGGTTGATAGTTAAATGAAAAATGAAGTTAATGAAAAGCTTTTAAGTAATTTAAATACTTCATAAAATCATACATATTTATATTCCTAAGTTCTGATAGAAGATCCTTTAGCCTTAACAAAACAGGAATATAAAGACTTCTTAAATCTAAACCTTAGCTTGGTTTCCAAATCCATTTTGAGTTTGTTTTTAATATTCAGGTTTTCAACCTTAGGAAAACCAGAGAGGTATCAAAATAAAACAACCTATTCTAAAAAATTACTTTAAAAAAATTACTTTAAATAAAAATAGCCTCCTTATTTAAAGTTTACCTCTTTTTAATTCAGCTTAATTTTTATTAGCTTACCTTATTAATATTTTTAAAAACAAAAGCTAACTTAATCACTTCCATTATCTTAAGACTCAGGAAATAGAGAAGCGTTCATTGGTATTCCATCACCATAACACGTACCTGAGGTAATCATCTTATAAAGAGAAAAGTCCCATTTTGGTTCACATTTTTAGAAATTCCAGTTCATAATCAGTTGGTCCTGTTGCTTTTAAGCCTGTGGTTATGTAGCACATCGTGGCTATAAGGTGTGATGGAGCCAAACCTCTTATCTTACCTCATGCTCAGGAAGAAAGATTCAGAAGGGACTGGACTCTCACTCTTTCCTTTAAGGGTTTGTTTCCACCTCACCTAAAACCTACCCTGTAGGTTCTACAACCTCCCAGCAGGACACCCTGAGGAGTAGGTCTTGATTGTATGGATCTTTGGCACAAACTTTGGATCTAAGTTACAGTAACTGGTCACTTCAAAATGCTGACCATAGGAATAGTTTTCAAGCACGTAGTAATTTTTGTTCCTTTACACTATTGTTTTATTTTGCTTCAAGTACAGTATTTTTTATATACAAAGTTAGATTCAAGTGTTTTATTTGAATGACATTCTTTAAAATAAAATTTTCTTATAATTATTTAAAATGATCTTATGTTCAGCAAAACAGCATTTATATTTTTTAAACTTTATAATAAACTCTTACAAAATTCCTTTTAGTTCACTGGGGATGGTTTATTTTTGAGATGTGTCTGTCTGTCTGTCTTATTTTAGGGGTATATTACCCAAATTTTTGCTCAGAATAAAATCTTAAATTGTCCTTTGCTTTTTTTTTTTTTTTTTGTAACAGTGAGTTTAGTAAAAATCCCCATATTGTGAGTTTTGTTGGAAATCAGGTAACTATAAGAAGAGCGGATGGCTCCCTGGTACATATTAGCATATCACCGTATCCTGCTATTCTTCATGAATATGTAAGCAGTTCAAAATGGGAGGATGCTGTGAGGCTTTGTCGCTTTGTTAAGGTATTTTACACTTCAGATCTGTACTTGTGTATGTATTGTCTGTGGGCCTAACTTTGTGTAAGATGGGTAATGGTAAACAAAAATTGGGTAATGGGCTGAAAAATTGTTAATAGGACCGTATCTTTTGTTTTCTAAATGAATACAAAGGAATAGATGTTGCTCTTTGAAAAACCTGTAATTAGACCTGTAGTTTTTCCATACTTTAAGTGAAAGTCAGGTACCTAGCCAGACTCAGTGATGCATACCTATAACCTAGCCACTTGGGAGGCTGAGGCAGGAACATCACAAGTTGAAGGCCAGCATAGTCAACTTAATGCAACTTATCTGATTTACTTTTTCTTTCATTGCTGAGACAAAATGCCTGACACTGCAAGTTAAAGGGTAGGGGTTTGTTTAGCTTATAGTTTGCAGAGATTTCAGCTTATCATCGTCTGGCTCTAAGGCAGGCTGGCTTGGCAGAGAACAGTTCATGGCACTGACAGGGAACAAAAGCAACATGGGTCCTTAACCCTTTCTATAGTGTATCTGGACTCCTGAGAGTACAACTGTGCCAAACCAGTCAGTGGATGGGTTTAGTAATCACACATCCTTAATCCCAGCAATACACACACTGGACTCCAGACACCTTTAAAAAAGCCCTATTAAGACTGCATGAGGCTTTAGGTGGACAGCTAGACACAAACCACAACAAAACTTGAAGAAGCTGGGATGTATATCAGTAGTAGAATGCTTGCCTGGCATGCACAGTTGACCAGTCCACTCCCTACCCAGTACCTGCTCCCCGCCCACCATCAGGTTTCTGAGTTATGTCACTGCAGAGATCTGAATTCACCAGATCTGTGTTAAGGAAGACTCTATATTTTTTAAGTTCCTCAGATGATTTTTGTACAACTTACGTTAAAATCTACTTTAGATCACCATTTTCCAGCTTGGTTGAGTTCACTATTTTCTAAAGGTACTTTAGCATAGACCTCTTGTTAATAAATATTAGATAACATTACTTAGTATACAGTTTTGTGAGATAATATTTAGATTCCCCTAACAGTGAGTTATTGGTGATAATTTACCATAGTGTCATTTTCTCAGAAACCTCATTATTCCTCTGGTTACTTATATAAGTTATGGTTTTTTGTCACCACATCAGAAAGGCTGGATGTTTATTTAATATTAAAAACTAAATTCTTGGGCTGGGTCTGTAGCTTAGTGACAGAGTGTTTGCTATCACATAGAAGTATTTGGGTACAATCCTCAGAATCACAAAAATCTTTGATAAATAAAAGTAAACATGTTTAGAAAGATTTATTTGAAAGGAGTGTGTTATGTATTCTTAATATGTTTTAACAAAATAGCTACAATGAAATTTCTACGTTTTTAGTTTTTTTCAGTACCATGTTTCATAATTTTTTCTTTTTGAAGTTGTCTTATTTTATTCTGAATATTTACATCACTTTATTTTCAGGTAGTTCAGCCATGTTGTTGAGACAGTGTTTCATATTTTTCTTTAGGAGCAAACTATGTGGGCTTGCCTGGCTGCGATGGCAGTTGCTAATCGAGATATGATTACTGCAGAAATAGCTTATGCAGCCATTGGTGAAGTAAGTAAATCATGTTTACATAAATGAACATGTGAATGTTTTTACTCACCATAATTTGTAATATTTCTTATCTATTCAAATATTTTTTTAGATCGACAAAGTTCAGTACATCAATTCTATAAAAGATCTTCCATCTAAAGAATCAAAAATGGCCCACATATTACTGTTTAGTGGGAACATACAGGAGGCTGAAATAGTACTTCTTCAGGCTGGCCTTGTTTATCAAGCAATCCAGATCAATATTAATCTGTATAACTGGGAAAGGTAATAAAAATGTTTTTCCTCATTTCCAAAATTTGAATGACCTTACTCTTCCACCTACCACTTAGTGAATTTTAATTGCCACAGTATATAATAATTTTCTAATACCACAGAATTTTTGTATTTATATTCATGAGTAATGTGGAATTAAAGATGTATGCCTTGTCTGAACATCTAATTGATTAGAAGTCAGGGTATGAAAGTGAAAGAAGAGTTAGAGTGTCTCCCTAATTTTTATTTCAGCATTGACAAGATGGTGGTCTTATTAGCATATTTAGTAGAGAAGATGTAAATACACTTAACCAAGGCAAATTTGAAATATGTGTAAAAAGATAGGTAACAATAATTTATTAAATGTATGTGGAACTCATGAGAAATTTGAACCATATTTGTAGATTTTGAAAGCATCAGCAAATAGTAGTTGAAGCAAGAAGAGTAGACATAATTAGCTGTGAAATGTGTAAAATGAAAAGGTATCAACTGCATGTATGGCATAAGTGAAAGGAGGAAAATCTACCAAAAAGTGGTACCGTAAAGCAGTCAGAGAGGCAGAGAAAAGAAGAGTCAATGTAGAGTTGTGGTGTTTTAAGAAGAAAGAAGAAAGGATTTATAGTAAAGAATGGGCAGGGGCAACCTTCATTTCATTAGGCTTTGAGACATGCTTTTAGACAGGGTGGCTGTGCTGTTCTCTGATACTAAGTTTCTTCTACTCATTCTCCAAGGTTTTGTCTCCCAGTGAACAAAATTGTGGCACTTACTGGGATATGTTTCCACATTCAGATTATCCTTCATAATGTTTTTCTCTAGACTAAAAATAACCAATGTCTTTTTCATTTATAAGTGTATTATATAACTTTCTTAGATTAGAATTTACATACATGTGCTAACTCCACACAAGGAATATAAATATCATGTACTGCAGATATGTACAAAAAAAAAAGAAAGGGGATCAAGAGATGGGGGAAGGGACAGGGGATGAAAAAAGAATTACAATGTGTTATGTACATATACCAGCTTCTCACAAGGAATGTAAACATGTACTAATAAAGAAGACTAGATAAATATTTTTAAAAATATATGTAACTGTCCTCTTCTATAGTAAAAGTAAAAATGGCATATGGTTAATTTTTTATTGATCTAGTATAGTCTTATTATGTCCTAATGACCTAAACTATTCATAATTCAGCGTCTCTTTTATTTTACGCAAATAAGTTGTTCATCTGTGCAGAGGATCATGACATGTATTTTTGTTTCTATAAAAATGAATAGCTGCTGTCCTGGTTCTTAATTAATTATTTATTTATTATGTATTTGGTATGCAGTTTGGACCCTTAGTGATTCTATCTCAGCTTCCCCAGTGCTGGGACTACGGGCTTTCACCACCACACCAGTCTCAGTGGCCAGGCAGGACCAGGTCAGCACTGGGGATTGAACCCAGATCCTTCTGCTTGCCTAAGTAGGCACTTAGTCCACTGAGCTATCTCGCCGGCCCTTTGTCCACAATTTTTTACAATTTATAAAGTTTAAGATAGCCAGTTTAGGAAAAGGTAGAGTACAAATCTATGTCTATTTCTAATTAGTGGGGAAAAATTTTAATTTTTGTATTTGGCACAGAATCTCACTACATAGCTCAGACTCATAGTGATCCTCCTGTCTTAGCCTCCCCAGTGTTGGGATTACAGGCATGCACCAGCATGCCTAGTTTCAGTGTCCAGCTGGGTGACCTGCTGCAGGCTTGGGGCAGGGCCAGGATGGTAGACAGTACCAGGGATCGAACCTGGATCCTTGAGCATGCCAGGCAAGTGCTTAGATCACTGAGCTATCTACCTGGCCCTAGAAAATTATATATATTATTTCTAAGCTGTTTCTTTTGTTTTGGGTTTATTGTTGTTGCTGTGGGTGTTATTCTTTTGTTGGTTTTTTTTTTTTTTTTTTTTTTATGTATTTAGTACAGGGTGTCACTGCAGCTCAGACCGTAGTGATCCTTCTGTCTCAGCCTCCCCCAGCACTGGGATCACAGGTGTGTGCCACCATACCTGGACTCAGTGGCCGGCTCAGTGTGCCCAGGAGTGGGGCCAGCATGACATGTGGTGCCAGCAATTGATTATTTTGTTTTAGTTTTTTTTTTGTGACAAGATCTTTCCATGTAGTTCAAACTGTTCATGAACTCACAATGTAGCCCAGGCTCTCCTTGAACTCACAGCAATCATTCTGCCTGAGCCTCCCAAGTATTAGGATTATAGCCATGTGCCACCATGTCCAGCTTTGGGAAAATATTTATGTTAATTAATTATAGACACTACTGATCACATGGTATTCTCAACTGTGCTATGTAACAAACCCATTTTTTTTTTCATTTGTGTATTTGGTATAGGGTCTCACTATGTAGCTTGGACTCATAGTGATCCTCCTATTTTCAGCCTCCCCAGCACTGGGATTACAGGTGCATGCCAGCAAGCCCGGACTTGGTCACTGGCTCAGCGTGCCCAGGGAGCGGGGCTAGGGCCAGCAGGGCATGTGGTGTGCGGGGTTAAACCCCAGCCCCTGCACTTGTCAAAGCAAGTGCTTAGTCTGCTGAACAAACTCAAATCTTAATTGTTTTTATCTTAAGGTTTACAATCTAATTGGGAATTTTACTTTGTTGCCATTGATAATAGTAAAGTTTCTATTTAAATCATTATGACGAATTATACTGAATTTTCTTACTTGCTTCTTGCTTGCTTGCTTTTTCAGCAGGGGAGGTTTGACCCACGGTCCTAACTTTTATCTGTAATTATTTATCTTTGCAGATATGTATGTTATCTTTCTCCTTTCAGATTTTATGCTATTTGTTGTCGTTGTTGTTTTCTATTTAGAAGAGTTTATTGGATATCATTCTTGCATTACATTTAGCAAAGAAAAATTTTTCCCTGATGACATACTTTCATTTTACATTATATATGTTGTTAATGTTTTTTGTAGTAAAAATACAATTAAATACAAAATTAGTAAAACACAGCATATAAAACTTTATGCTGAGCAAAAAGTCAAAAAAGTTATCATATATCTATAGAATAGCTCTCATAGCACATTTCCTATGTAAATCATATTTAAATACAACTTTAGAACCATATTTAAATATATTTTACAATTTGTTAGCTGTAGGCATCCATTTTTCCATCTCATAATTTGCTCCTTTGATGAAATTGATAACATTTGTTAGGATCCACAGAATACATTTAAAACACAGCAATTATTTCTCAAGGTTTGAGAAATCTAGTCCACCTTCAGTGTAGTTTCCTGAGATTTCTGCTCCACTAAAGTCAAAACCAGGATTTTCTTTCTGGAACCTTTCCAATGTAAGCTTTTGCTGCGTTTGGTCCTGCCCCTACGGATCAGCAGTGTATTCAGATTCTAGAAGATAAGTCCAGCAGTTTGCTGCATCTCTCTTTGTCTAAGAACAATGCAGACCATTTTCTGTCCTCCAAAGTTCATGTTCCCTCATCAGCTATGGTAGAATCAAAGAGTTTGCCCTTCAGGATCTTGCAGCCCCCAATGGCCTGTGCCACATGCCGGCTCTGCAGGCCGCACTGGATGTCCTGCATGTGGGTGCCCGGTGGCACTTGAACTTCAGTGAACACCTCCTCCAGGGTTTGGTGCCACTGGCCCCACGGCGTCCCACAGGGAACCACCCCACTGCGCTCCTCAAACAGGGCGGACATCCTGCAGTGCAGGCTGCCACAGCTGCGGCAGTACTTGCCGCCAGCGCGCCTGGAGCACGCGCTGCAACCCACCCAGATTTTATACTATTTGAAAGATACAAACATTTTATAGTATCTGTACATAGTAGGTATTTAACATTTGTGCTTTTAATGTCCATACAATAGTCGCAATCATTTTTCAGTGCTCTTTAAACATGTTTTGGGTATAGATAACTCGTAACGGATGAGTAATTGTCAGAGTAGGATGATGAGGATGTTTGCCGCTGATATCTAGTAGCCTACTATATAGTCTCTGAACATTTTTTATACTTCTTGACCTAAGTGGAGCACACTGCTTTTTATTTTTTCCAAATGCCTTGGGATCTGGATCTTCATGTTTATTTTTCTACCTTATAAAATATTCAATCCAAGGCTAGGTAGAAGTGTTGATCATTGGTAGAGTGCTTGCCTAGCTTGTGTGAGGCCCTAGGTAAGCCTTGAATAAATAATTTGTTACTTGTTCTATAACTGTTTGTTGAGTACCTCTACTGTGCCAGATGTGGGCACTAGGGATACAGCAGTAAGCAAAATCAGTGAAACTCTGGGTTTTTAAGTGTGATTATACAACTATAACTGACATGGTTAAGATTAAAAAGTAGGAATAGGAAAGAATATATATTAGATTTGATATAAGAATCAATTCATAACAGCATACACTAAAGAAAGGCCCATAACGGCCTTTTTCTATCCAAATCATAAGGTGTGGTAGGGCATAGGGTAGACAGCTCTGAAGTTCAGGAGATACAGAGATTGAGGAAAGGCCACTGAGGAAATTGTCAGGCTGACTAGAATAAAGAGGTCATCAGGTTAGCTAAGAACTTAGTTTAAAGAACTTAAAGAACAGAAAGAATCAAGGTATGTTATATGCACATAAAACTTTCCCAAAATAAATATAACTATTCTGTATTGTACATATACCCTGATAAAAAGGATTTAAAGAGGGATAGGCTCATCTCTGCTGATACCAACATTTAAAGGTATGGTTTACCTGGAGAGTACAGGAAAAGAAATTGGGAAGCAACAAAAAGATGAAATTTTAAAAAGTAGTTACTGTGGAAAAATATCAAACACATACAAAAATAGATTAGCATAAAAAATACCCATGTGCCCATTATTAATTAGCAACTTGAGGGTAGTCCCTTTTCTTTCCCCACCCCTACCCCTTTTATTTCAAAGCAGAGCCCAATCACCGTATCATTTTATCTATACATATTTCAGTATATATTTGTAAAAGTTTTAAAAATATAGCCCAAATATGACCAT